TGAGCTAGCACCTCACCTGCAGTCTTACCTGCTGATCTTGGGATTTGTTGATCTTCACAGCCTGTGAGCAACAGCCCTGCTCTCCAACCTACCGATCTTGGGTTCACCAGCCCCTGCGGCTACATCAATCGGGAGAAGCCTCTATCCTGAACCACAGACTTGGGACGTTCCAGCCTCTACAACCGTGTGAGCCATTTCCTTGATATAAATCTCCCTATATATATTTATATGCTTTACTGGTTTTGCTTCTCTAGAGAACCCAGCCTACAACACTGGGAAAGAGCTGTCTCCTCAATGTAGAGTCAACCTTAATGACATGGATGGAGTAAAGTTTTTGGGACCTTCATTTGCTGAGGTTGCAAACTCAAAATGAGAAAAAACAGCTGCAAATATCCATTGATAATTGGAACATGGTATGTACGAAGTGTGAACCTAGGAAAATTGCAAGTTTTCAAAAATGAAATGGACCACAAAAAGATCAATATCCTAGGCATCAGTGAGTTGAAATGGACTGGTATTGGCTATTCTGAATTGGATAATCCTATGGTCTACTATGCTAGGCATGACAAATTAACGAGGGATGGCATCACATTCATCCTCAAAAAGAACATTTCAGGATCTATCCTGAAGTACAACACTGTCAGTGATAGGATAATATCCATATACCCACAAGAAAGACTAGTTAATATGACTATTATTCAAATTTACACACCAACCATTAAGGCCAAGGATGAGGAAATTGAAGATTTTTACCAACTTCTGCAGTCTGAAATTGATCAAATATGCAATCCAAATGCATTGATAATTACTGGTAATTGGAACGTGAAAGTTGGAAACAAAGAAGAAGGATCAGTATTTGGAAAACATGCAAGACCAATGACTTGTTCATTGCAAATACCTTTTTTCAACAATGCAAGCAGCAGCTATACACATGGTCCTCACCAAATGAAATACACAAGAATCAAATTGACTACATCTGTGGAAAGAGACGATGAAGAAACTCAATATGATCAGTCAGAACAAGGCCAGGGGCCGACTGTGGAACAGACCATCAATTGTTCATATGCAAGTTCAGGTTAGAGCTAAATAAAATTACAGCAAGTCCAAGTAAGCCAAAATACAACCTTGAGTATATCCCACCTGAACTTACAGACCACCTCAAGAACAGATTTGATGCACTGAACACTAACAACAAAAGACCAGATCAGTTGTGGAATGACATCAAGGACATCGCACATAAAGAAAGCAAAAAGTAATTTAAAAGACAGGAAAGAAAGAAAAGACCAAAACGGATGTCAGAAGACACTCCAAAACTTCTTCTTGAACATAGAGTAGCTAAAGCAAAAGGGAGAAATGATGAAGAAAAAGAGCTGAAGATTTCAAATGGTGGCTCGAGAAGATAAAGAAGAGTATTATAGTGAAATGTGCAAAGACCTGGAGTTAGAAAATCAAAAGGGAAGAAAACACTCAGAATTTCTTAAGCTGAAAGAACAGAAGAAAAAATTCAAGCCTTGAGTTGCAATACGGAACGATTCTACGGGGAAAACACTGAACGACACAGCAAGCATCAAAAGGAGATGGAAAGAATATACAGTCACTGTACCAAAAAGAATTGGTCAGTGTTCAATCATTTCAGAAAGTAGCATATGATCGAGAACTGATGGACTGAAGGAAGAAGTCCAACACACAGTGAAGGGAATGGCAAAAAACAAGGCTCCAGGAATTGACGGAATATCAGTTGAAGTGTTTCAATAAAAAGATGCAGGGCTGGAGGTGCTCACTTGTCTATGTCAAGAAATACGGAAGACAGCTTCCTGGCCAATCGACTGGAAGAGATCCATATTTGTGCCCATTCCAAAGAAAGGTGATCCAACAGAACGGGGAAATTATCAAACAATATCATTAACATCACACACAAGTAAAATTTTGCAGATGATTCAAAAACCATTGCAGCAGTACATCAACAAGAAACTGCTAAAAGTTCAAGCCAGATTCAGAAAAGGACGTGGAAGGAGGGATATCATTGCTGATGTCAAATGGATCTTGGCTGAAAACTGAGAATACCAGAAAGATGTTTACCTATGTTTTATTGACAATGCAAAGGCATTTGACTGGGTGGATAATAACAAATTATGGATAACATTGGGAAGAATGGGAATTCCAAAACACTTTAATTGTGTTCATGAGGAACCTGTACATAAACCAAGAGGTAGTTGTTTGAATAGAACAAGGGGATACTGTGTGGTTTAAAGTCAGGAAATGTGTGTCAGGATTGTATACTTTCACCATACTTATTCAATCTGTATGCTGAGCAAATAATCTGAGAAGCTGGGCTATATGAAGAAAGGGGCATCAGGATTGGAGGAAGACTCATTAACAACCAGCAATATGCAGATGACACAAGCCTGCTTGCTGAAAGTGAAGAGGACTTGAAGCTCTTACTGATGAAGATCAAAGACCACAGCCTTCAGTATGGATTGCACCTCAACATAAAGAAAACAAAAATCCTCACAACTGGACCAATAAGCAACATCATGATAAACAGAGAACACACTGAAGTTGTCAAGGATTTCATTTTACTTGGAGGCACAATCAACAGCCGGAAGCAGCAGTCAAGAAATCAACGGACATACGGCACTGGGCAAATCTGCTGCAGAAGATCTTGAAAGTGTTAAAAAAGTGTTAAAGAAGATCTTTAAAGTGTTAAAAAGCAAAGATATCACTTTGAGGGCCAAGAAGCACCTGACCAAGTCACAGTATTTTCAATCACCACATATGCATGTGGAAGCTGAACAATGAATAAGGAAGATCAAAGAAGAATTGATGCCTGAGAAATATGGTGTTGGCAAAGAATATTAAATATACTATGGACGGCCAGAAGAATAAACAAATCTGTCTTGGAAGAAGTACAGCCAGAATGCTTCCTAGAAGCAAGAATGGTTAGACTTGGTCTCATGTACTTTGGACATGGTATCAGTTCGGACCAGTCACTGGAGAAGGACATCATGCTTGGTAAAGTACAGGTTCAGCAAAATGATGAAGACCCTCATTGAGATGGACTGACACAGTGGCTGCAACAATGGACAACAATGATCATGAGGATGGTGCAGGACGGGGCAGCATTTCGTTCTGTTTTACAAAAGGTTGCTACAAGTTGGAACTGACTGGAAGGCACCTAACAACAACATATGTATGTATACATATATGCATACATATATATGTGTGTGTGTGTGAATATAAAATATCCATTTTACTCTTTAAAATTTCTTGTGGCTTTTTTTCAGATGTTCCCGAGCCCTGAACGGCTCAAATGGTTAACGTAGTCGGCTGCTAATCAAAAGTTTAGAAATCTGAATCTACTCAGAGGTTCCACGGAAGAAAGGTTTGGTCATCTACTTCAGAAAAATCAGTCACTGAAAACCCTATGGAGCACTGTTCTACTATGACACACAAGGGGTCACCATGAGTTGGAGTCGATTTTATGGCAAGTATTTTGTTTTGTTTTAGTCCCAGGAAAAATGAAGGCCCCTAGGTGGCGCAAACAGTTTGCGCTGGACTGCTAACCTAAAAGTTGGCGGTTCAAACCCACCTAGTGTTACTGCAGAAGAAAAGGCCTATGATTTGCTTCCATTAAGATTACAGCCAAGAAAACCCTATGAGGCAGTTCTATTCTGTAACACGAGGTTGTCATGAGATGGAATCAATTTGACGGCAACTAACAACAGGGAAAATTAAACTCAAACATAGGATATCAATGTACGTTGGAGACACGACTAAATGGAAACACACAAATTCAAAGAAAAATTGATTAATCATTAAGCTTGAAGGGAAGAATTAAAAACAATTCCCACTGAAATCACATCTATAATGCAATAAAATATAAGCATATTGAAGATTTAGTATACCTAAATTAGTGAATAAGTAGCCCTGGTGGTGCAGTGGTTAAATACTTGGCTACTAAATGAAAGGTTGGCTGTTCAAACCCAAAACCTGGTGATCTGCTCCCATAAAGATTACAGCCTAGAAAATCCTATGGTGCAGGTCTACTCTGTCACAAGGTGTCACTATCAGTTGGAATCGACTCAAGGGCACCTCACAACAACATATTAGTCAATAAATTGAACCCTTATCAAAGACACTTGGATACACTAATTGAACATGCATCAAATATGACCATGCAGTGAGTCAAAGAAAACGTTCGCTAATTTCAAATAAGACGGTATCTTATCCTATTTAACAATTCCCCTATTATCGGATATTATGTTGTCTTCAATTAGAAATAAAACTGTGAAACAATCTGAAAAAAAAAAAAGAGACATTAGGGAGGCCACAGTTCTTGCACAGTGAAATCAAAATGGAAGTAAATAAAAATCAGGTAGTGGAAGCAAAACTAAACAAATCAAAAAGCAAAAGATAGTTTCTATACTTAGAATCTGATTACAGGAAAAGTTTTTATAACCTATGTGACAACTGGTAAACAACCAGTTTAGAATCTCATCATCATGAAGAATCAAAGTACTCAATACCGGGAGTCTGGTCAAAGCAGTGATCTTGAAACAAATGTATCTTGAAAACAGAATACTAAAAAACGAAGAAAAAAAAATCCCATTGATTTAGAATCTGTTCCGACTCACGGCAACGCTGAGTGTTCCAACGTGCAAGTGCTCCATAGGGTTTTCCTGGCTATAACCTTTACAAAAGCATAAACCTCTCTTCCGCGGTGCCACTGGGTGGATTTAAACCCCCTCTTTCTAGACTCGTACACCTGTGCCCGCCATTTGGGCCACCAGGGACCTTCAAAAAAACGGGGCGGGGGGGTTGCAAACAAATAAACCGGTTGTTCAATGTGTAAACCAAGAAAGGGAAAAAGGAAACCCACATTTCATATTAAAAATTAACTAAATATTGACAGAACTTTAAAGAAATCATAAGCTTCAGGAATGAAAAGAAACAGATTACTTGACTGAAAATGACGGAATGATCCAAACTTTCTGACTCGCGTCCTGGGGCCGTGGGGCGCGGCCGGCGCCGCCCTGCGAGCCCAGGGGACGGGGCGGGGGACGCAGACGACGAGCCCCCGCGGGGCCTTTCGGGGCGCGAGGTGGGGAGGGGTCGGTGGGGGGCTCCGACAGGAAAGGGGGCGCGCGGGTCCCCGGGCCGGAGGCGGGAAGGCCGGACGGACCCGCTCGGAGCTGCTCTAACCGGAAACGGACGCGGATCCGGGACGACGGCGGGGCGGGTGCGGGGACGTGAACGTCCGCAGGGACCCCCGGACCCCGAGCGGGGAGGACGCGGGGCTGAAGGGGACGGGAAGTGCGGCTTTGAACTAGAAAGACGACACTCACTCACCCTCCTGGAATTGCCGCCCAAGAGCGAGACTCTCGCTGTCGAAAGGAAACGGCCCAAGGGGCGGGGCTGTGCTGGGGGCGGGACTGTACGGGGGGCTGAGCGGGGAGCGGGGAGCGGGGAGCGGGGCCTCGGGTGGCGAGAGGCGGGGCATGGAGTGAGACAAGCTGGCCCTGGGCTTCCCCTTCCCTCCATTCCCCCACCTGGACTTTCAATTTCTTTCATTTCAACAGAACTTGATTCTCCTCCTTTTGAACCATTTCAAAGTCTTTGGAATCCTGAGGACCAGAGTTCCTTTCGTTAACGTTTCAAGCGATTTAAAAGAGGAGAGTTGTAGCTCACATATGTTGGAAACTGAGCTGTTTTCCTTCTATCATGTTGTCGTTGTTTTTGTGTGTCCTGGAATCCATTCCTACTCATAAAAAAACAAAAACCAAACCCACTGCCGTTGAGTCGATTCCAACTCATAGCACCCCTATAGGACAAAGTAGAAGTGCCCTGTAGAGTTTCCAAGGAGCGCCTGATGGAATCGAACTGTCGACCGTTTTGGTTAGCAGCTGTAGTACTTAACCACTACATCACCAGGGTTTCTAGCAATCCTATAAAACAGTAAGGTGTGAAATAGGGTTTCCTATATTGTAAGCCCTGATGGCACAGTGGTTAAGAGCTTGGCTGCAAACCAAAAGGTTGGGATTTTGAATCCACCATGCCACTCCTTGGAAATTCTACAGGGGAGTTCCACCGTGTTCTGTAGGGTCGCTATGAGTCTGAATTGACTCGATGGGCAAAGGGTTTGGGGTTGGTGGGTTTTTATGATTGTTCCAGGGAGCCCTGGTGGCGAAGTAGTTAAGAGCTCTGCTGCTAACCAAAAAGTTGGCAGTTCAAATTACCAGCAACTCCTTGGAAACTCTACGGGGGCAGTTCTACTCTGTCCTATTGGGTCGCTATGAGTCAGAATCGACTCAATGGCAATGGGTTTGTTTTGGTTATGATCAAAGGAGACTTGGTGGCACGGTGGTTAAAAAGCTTGCTGCTAACCGAAAGGTCGGTGGTTCGAACACACCAGGCCCTCTGTCGGAGAAAGGTGTGCAGGCTGCTACCATACTGCAGCCTTGGAAACTCTACAGGGTGGTTTTACTCTGTTCTGGAGGGTGGCTATGAGTCGGAATTGACTCAGCACTTGTGGGTTTGGGATTGTATGATTGTTCAAGAGTGAGCTGTGGGTCCTATGTCAAAAACATGCTGCTCTGTTTCACAGTGCAGGTAGCCCACCACTTACAACTAGGTTATATTCCCATGACTCAGTCTTAAGTCGGCTCTGACATAAGTTAAATACCTTTTTTAAAGTTTTCATTCATATTGCCTTTTATTATCAGTGTCTTGATAAATTCAATATTTACTTGTAGGCATCAGTGTCCTAACAATGAGACTGGAGTCCTAACAGCTGTTGGGTGCATGCATAGTTCAATTGCCATGTCTTCAGAGTTGAACATTGCCCAACTTTCTATCGGTTATGACTCCCTACACCAACACAAACACCAGCACAGATTTCATTGTAGACCAGGCCATAGCCTGCTATACGGCAATGCTGTGATCAGTAAATTGCAATACTGAACATCTGCAAGTGAACATCTGAGAATAATAACATCAGTAAATTACAGGCTGCAACACTGTGTGTAATATATATTACTAACGATAAGATGTACAAAAAAAGATGATCTTAAGTGTGGTTCACTGTCACTCGAATACATCGTTTAAGTCAGGGACTACCTGTTTTCAAAACCAATGAGACTAATCCTAAAGTAGCCACTCTCACAACCCGTTTTACTTAGGTTCCTCAAGAATCTGGTAATACAAATTTACAAAATAAGATTTGAGACCATCGACCCAGGCAATAGGGGGTCAGGCTTCTCATTGTCATATTTGTCCTGCACCTTTCCAAATCCCTCCAAATGAGGGTGAACAAAGAAGATTTGTTTAGAGTCCTTAAATGTTGAAGGACTTGGGAGAGTGCTGGACTAAGAAAAACTAGTTTGACCCCATCAATACTCATCTTTTTCCTCCCACTTTTTTTATTGTTGTACTTTAAGTGGAAGTTTATAATTCAAGTTAGTCTTTCATACAAAAATTTATACATACATTGTTATGTGACCCTAATTGCTCTCCCTATACTGTGATAGCACACGCCTCCTTTCCACCCCTGATTTCCTGTGTCCATTCAACCAACTCCTGACTCTCTCTGCCTTCTCATCTCACCTCCAGACAGAAGCTGTCCCTTTAGTCTCATGCATCTACTTGAGCTAAGAAGCATACTCTTCACGAGTATCATTTTATCTTTGTCTTTATCTTCACGAGTATCATTTAATCTTTGAAGATTTGGCCTCGGGAATGGTTTTAGTCTTGGGTTGACAGAGAGTCCGGGGGCCATGCTTTCTGGGGTTCCTCCAGTCTCAGACCATTGAGTCTGGTCTTTTAACTAGAATTTGAGTTCTGTCCCCCACTTTTCTTCTGCTCTGTGAGGGACTCTGTGGTGTGTTCCCTGTCAGGGCGGTCATTGGTGGTAGCTGGGCACCATCTAGTTCTTCTGGTCTCAGGCCAATAGAGTCTCTGGTTTATATGGCCCTTTCTATCTGTTGGGCTAATACTTCCTTGTGACTTTGATGTTCTTTATTCTCCTTGACTCCAGATGGGTTGGGACCAATTGATGCATCCTAGATGGCTGCTCACTACAGTTTAAGACCCCAGACGTCACTCACCAAAGTAGGATGCAGACCATTTTCTTAATAAACTGTGTTATGCCAATTGACCTAGATGTCCCCTGAAAGCATGGTCCCAGACTCTTGCCTCTGCTACTCTGTTCCTCAAAGTGTTTGGTTGTATTCAGGAAACTTCTTAGCTTTGGTTTAGTCCAGTTGTTCTGACTTCCCCTGCAGTGTGCGCCGTCCTTCCCTTCACCTAAGATCATTCTTATCTACTATCTAGTTAGTAAATACCCCTCTCCCTCCCTTCCCAGCAAGTAACCATCAAAGAATGTTTTCTTCTGTGATTAAACCTTTTCTTGATTTCTTATAATAGTTGTCTTATACAACATTTGTCCTTTTGTGACTGACTAAATTCACTCAGCATAATGCCTTCCAGATTTCTCGATGTTATAAGATGTTTCACAGATTCATTGTTGTTCTTTATGGTTGCATACTATTCCATTATGTGAATATACCATAATTTGTTTATCCATTCGTCCTTTGATGGGCACCTAGGTTGTTTCCATCTTTTTTCTATCGTGAACAGTGCTGCAATGAACATGGGTGTGCATATATCTATTCGTATGATAGCTCTTATTTCTCTAGGATGTATTGCAAGGAGCGGGATTGCTGGATCGTATGGTACTTCTATTTCTAGCTTTTTAAGAAAGCACCAAATTGATTTCCAAAGTGGTTGTACCAGGCTTCTCAGGCCTCCAAGGCCTGGCTTCTGTTTTTTTTTTTGTGTGTGTGTGTGTGTGTGTGTGTGTAATTGTGCACTCTGAGGCCTGGGAGAATCTTCCAGAAAGGGTGGGCAGGGACAGGCCAATCCAGGACTGCTTTAGGGCAAGCCCCTGCCTGTACTACAACCTGGGGGCAGGGGCCTCCTCACAGGGGCTCCAAGTCACCTCCTGGGCAAGTCCCTGCTGTTGTCTCTCCACCCCCCACCCCCGCTGTGGACAGCGCTCTAGGACAGGACACCACAGAAAGCTCCAGGTAAATGGCCTCCCTTGTCTGGAGCACACCCTGTTGGTACCTCTGGCTTCTTCCTTGGCAGGTTGGCCTCCCCTTACAAGGGGGAGAGGAATTTTTTGAAGGGCTTTTCCTCCCAGTGTTTTTACTGTTTTTCACCAGGAGAGAAATTCAGGGTACGGGCTTTGCCTTGATCCTGGAAACAAAATCCCCATGTACTGCTTTTTCCTTTAGTTTTTACCTTATCAAGATTACTTACCCTCCCTTCCCTCCCCTTCTCCTGGAGGTGGCAGCAGGCCAGGGGCCTAGGAAGGCAGCAGGCCAGGAGATTTCTAACAAGTGAGTATATGGAGGCTCAAGGGGCTGGCTTCTCACTATGAGAGGGGCCACAAATACTGACAGGAAAAGGCTAGGGGAGCTCTGAGGGGCCAAGATGGAACTGCAGTTACCAGTGAGAACTCACGGGGTTTAAATACATACACCTAGAGAGACACACAAGTAGACATAAGTGTGTATGCATGCCTGTGTATGAGTGCATATTTAATTACATTTATTTCCTAGCTCTGTCCATTGAGTGGACCTAGAAGCAACAAGAGTTAAAAAGAGAGAGACAGACAGACATGGATATTGTCCCTGGTGGTGCAAACAGTTAACCATGTTCGCTGCTAACCAGAAGGTTGGTTGTTTGAGTCCGCCCAGAGTTGCCTTGGAAGAAAGGCCTGTGATCTACTTCCAAAAAATCAGCCATTGAAAACCCTACGGAGCACAGCTCTACTCTGACACACAAGAGGTCGCTATGAGTCAGGCCGACTCTATGGCAACTGTTTGTCTGTTTATAGATAGATGACACGGATACAGACACAAACACAGACCAGACACAGATACAGATACAGACGGGGGAGCACGTGGTGAAACGTAACAACTGGGAAAACTGGGCGACAGGATTACGAGTTTTTGTACTGTCTTTGCAACGTTTCTGAAAAATTTAAACCATCTCAAAATGGACAGACATGGAGGACCATTCCTCCTGGCTGGTCACTGTGAGTGAGGATTTCAAATTTAGTAGCATTCGGACAATGAAAATGAAACCCCTATGGGGATTTAAGTGGTGGACAGGGCCACAGGGGGCCGAAGTGACCTTGGGCCAGTGCCCAGGCAGGAGGGCCCCAGATGACAGGCCTTGGGAGCACCTTAGACCCCCAGGGATGTTATAAGATGTTTCACAGATTCATTGTTGTTCTTTATGGTTGCATACTATTCCATTATGTGAATATACCATAATTTGTTTATCCATTCGTCCTTTGATGGGCACCTAGGTTGTTTCCATCTTTTTTCTATCGTGAACAGTGCTGCAATGAACATGGGTGTGCATATATCTATTCGTATGATAGCTCTTATTTCTCTAGGATGTATTGCAAGGAGCGGGATTGCTGGATCGTAT